TAAAAAAAAAAAAAAAAAAAAAAAAAATAAATAAATAAATAAATAAATAAATAAATAAATAAATAAATGTATATAATTAATAATATATATTTATATTTAATTAATTATATTTATTTATATATTTAATTAAATTATAATTAAATAATTAAGCAGACAGCTAAAAAATAAGGAGCAACAGCAGCAGCAGCAGCAGCAGCAGCAGCAACAGCAGCAGCAGCAACAGGAGCAGCATAAACACAAAACCAACCCCACCACCAGATTTATGACCACCTTCCCTACCCCCACCCCTACCCCCACCCGCACCAGCAGCAGCAGCAGCAGCAGGAGCAGCAGCAGCAGCAGCAGCAGCAGCAGCAGGAGGACGGACCCGAAGCAAAGAAGCTATCCTGTGTTTTCCATCCTAATGCAGCAGCAGATTGTTTAATCAATAATTTATCATTAGCAGCAAAACTAATATCTATTGTTATGCTGCGTCCCTTGCAGCTGCTGCGTGGTTGTAGACGTCGCTGCTGCTGCTGCTGCTGCTGCTGCTGTTGATTATTATACCTGCTGCTGCTGCTGTTGCTGCTGCTGCTGCTGCTAAATGGGCTATAATATAAACTCTTATATAGCCATCCTCCTAAGGAACCAGATAATGCCTCTATTATACCAGCTAATTGTATTGGTGCTGCTGCTAGACTTGCTGCTGCTGCTGCTGCTGCTGCTGCTGATGATGATGATGATGTTCTGCTGCTGCTGTTGCATGTATTCAATGATGTATCTATACCATCAACAACTACTCCTCCTGCTGCTCCTCCTCCTGCTGCTCCTCCTCCTGCTGCTCCTCCTGCTGCTGCTGCTGATCCTTGTAAGAAATTTGCTGATGCTAGTAAACGCATTGCATGCGCATCTCTTGCTTCCTCTAAGAATACATCTTGAGGAGGTGCTGCTGCTGCTGCTGCTGCTGCTGCTGCTGTTGCTGTTGTATATCCTGCTGCTGCTGGTGTTGCAGCAGCTGCTGCTCCTACTGCAGCATCCGCTGCCGGCATCTTCTATTCAAATATAATGCCCCTATTACTGCTGCATTTGCTGCTACCTAACTCTCCTGCTGCTCCGCCTTCTGCCGCTGCTGCTATACACCTTATGCTGCTGCTGCTGCTGCTGCTGCTGCTGCTGTTGCTGCAGATCTATGATTGCAGCTCTTGCTGCTGCGGATGCTGCAAACTATGCTGCTGCAGCAGCAGCAGCTGTTGCTGCTGCTACTTCAGCTGCTGCAGATGCTGCTGTCTTCGTGTCTACTATGAATCCTTGCTAATACTGTTTTGCTGCCACCGCACACCCTTGCTGCTGCTGCTGCTGCTGCAGGAACGTGTGTTGCTGCAGCTACGGGTCATGCTGCTGCTGCTGCTATTGCTGCTGCTGCATACACCCTTAAGGAATTTATTCCTCCAGGCCTTACACAAGGAAACTAATTGCAGAGGCAGCTGCAGCAGGAAGGGGCCTGCTACTACTACTACTACTACTACTACTACTACTACTGCTGCTGCTGCTGCTGCTGCTGCTGCTGCTGCTGCGTTGCTGTGTACAGATGGCAGCAGCAGGAAAATAAGCAGCAAAGGAAAAGAAGACAAGAAATACAATTTATATTTTTAATAAAAAAACAAATTAGACAAGGAGAGGGAGGGTGGTCCTTGTCTGCAGCAGCAGCAGCAGCAATCGCATGCCTGCTGCTGCTGCTGCTGTGTTGCTGTTGCTGTTGCTGCTGCTGTGTTGCTGTTGCTGCTGCTGCTGCTCCAAGGGCTGCTGCCCCTGCTGCAGCACTATTTGTAGTTTTTTTAACCCTTTTAGCCTTATACAGCAAATCCTTTATTTGCTTGCTGCTGCTGCAGTTGCTGCTGCTGCAGCATAGACAGAGTATAGTCTAACTGCTACAGGTGCAGTACTAGGAGTACTAGTAGCAGCAGCAGCAGCAGCAGCAGCAGCAAAATAAATTCATCCATAAGGAACAATTATTCTTCCCTTTAGCTCTTCGCAAATTCATGCAGAAGCCGTGCTCCTGCTGAACCCTAAACCCTAAACCCTAAACCCTAAACCCTAAACCCTAGATGGGAGCTTCTACGGTTTCGATCCCTCGAGCGATCCTTGACTGTCCCCGCAGCAGCAGCAGCGGCAAGTGAGCAGCCGCAGCAGCAGCAGCAACAGCAACAGCTGCTGCAGTACATTAACAACGCAACGCAGCAGCAGCAGCAGTGGTAGCAGCAGCAGCACTGCGAATTTTTTTTTGTGCCGCAGCAGCAGCAGAGGAGGAAAGGACAGCAGCAGGAATATTAACAGCAGCAGCAGCAGCAGCAATCTCAAAGAAACAGTATAAGTAGCAGCAGCAGCAATAGCAGCAGCAGCAGCAATAGCAGCAGCAGCAGTGCCGATAACGTCCAGCCTCCATATGGAGGCGGGACCTACTGCTGCTGCTGTTGCTGCTGCAGCGCCGGTAGCAGCAGCAGCAGTAGCAGCAGAGGAAGCA